CTTGGCGGAAACGAGCGATGTATGATTTATTAAAAGGTAAAAATTGACATGGTTTAATGTATTATGCTAAATTCATATATTTATATGTTAAGTTGAGATAAATACTAATTGAATTTCTATAACATGTATCTACAATTTGGGCACCAGATTCAAGAAAAACTTGAGCCGGGCCTGAAAGTCGCCATGTTGGTCTAAAGCAGAGATCAATTCTTTCGATATGCAGAATTGTTTAGCTTAATTGATTTATCTCTTTAACCATGTTTAGTATGAGTTTATTGCTTATGACATATTTGAAAAATAAGATACCTTCTCTTTTGGAATAATTAGCTTTGGATCATCTTTTGAATCTTTCTATAAAAAAGACTACTCTGAACTATTAAAAAAATATATCATATAAATTATGATTTAAATTTATACTAATGTATACCTAACATGATTTAAGTTATGACGACCGGTTACTTGGACTGAACCTTCTCTCAGCCAGCTTGATAATTCAAAGTTTTGTCTATTTAATAGTTCGAGACTTCCATAAATCATCATATACTAGGATTTACCCCGTGGTGTACCACGGGTCCATAATTTAATATATTTATTTGGTTGGTCATTTCGTAGTTGGTTTATATAGTATAGTTTTATACGTGTTTATTTCATTTGATTTTACATAATTTTATGAATCTGTATTATAAGTAGATTCATAGATATATGTGGTTAACCTGCGGTACACCGCAGAATAATTTTGTCGTAAAACAAATTATATTTTAACTTAACTCGTAAAAATATTTTATTATAGACAACCCGTAAGAAAAATATAATTATATTTATGTAAATTCAAATCCGTCCAATCATATTTATGTACAATATTATTATATTTTAAAATATTTAGAGTTAAAATATTAATAATACTTTAAATCAAATGTTATAACATTAGGGCATTAGTAAGAGTTTCTGTAATATTTTAAACCTTTCCAAGAAATTAAAATTTATAATATTTTGAAACTTTTTAAAAATATATTTTTCTTAAATATATAACAGGATTAAACAGAATAAATTTTTAATTTGGATGCCTAAGAAACCAAATTTCATGCTCATTTGTAGTTGGAAACATATTAGTCATATTTATAATGGTTTTGAACTCTTATATAAACATTTTCCCTTTATTAATTGAGTTATATACGTCCGTTTTCAAAACTTTAAATTGCAAAATGTGTGGAAAATTTTTTTTATTTTTATTAAAAATATTTTTATGTAATAATATACATGGAAAATAAATAAGATTATATAAATAAATTGGAGAAAGATTCAAGTTATTAGAGAGATATTTTAGGAAATTGTTTTGATGTAATAAATATTTGTTTCCAATTTTGAGATTTGCTTGTGGTTTAATTACAAAATTTACTTTAAGTTTTGTTATTTATTCAAATGGCAAATGTTTGATTATACAAATATTACAAAATAAAATGTTATAACCCAAAATAGATTTTAGTACAAAATGTACTTCAAAAATGTTAAGATAGATAATACTGTATTTTTCCCCTCACTTACTCGATACTGATCGTATTGTACTTTTTTCTTACATCACTTATTGTAACATCACAGTTTCCATTTTTGATGACGCTACATGCATTTATGTATATGCATAGAGATAGAGAGACGATCTAGAATTTTCAAAACACCAACAAGTTAATACGATAGTGATGACGTTGCATGCATCTATATATATCATTATTGATCTCTAGACTCTAGCTAGTTTATTATATATACACATCATCAATACTCCAAATACTTTTACGATCTAGTAAGTATAAGTCATGATGATAAGTATGGTGCTGTTCGTTTGCAGTCGCAAGATTTTACGCGATTATGAAACATCCGCGATTCATAATCGCAATCACAGTCGCAATCGCAGCCGCTTGCGATTATATAAACTAAGTGCAGTCGTATAAAATTTGATAATGCGTTTCATATATGGTGGGTGGTCCAAAAATAAGTTTTGATGACTTTATGTTACGTTGTCAACGTCACTCTCGTCGCAAATGAATCTCTTTTATATAAGTCTTACGGCGGAAAATGATGTTCACAACACATCGGCGTGCGTATACATAATAATAATTATACAATGTTTGCAATATGATTTGTATTATTGTTTGTACGTGTGGACAAGTTTTTCTTACTTAATGTCGTCTTTGTAGAAATTGTATAGCTTAATTATCATTATATATGATATTGTATAGAAGATTAGATGAATACGTACTTACAACTTTAGACGATTGAAGAGATATTTTATTTAATTTTTAGATGTAGAAGTGGTATAGAAGATAGATATGTAATTTTGGAAATTTTTTTGGACCACTCGCTTTGCAAATTAGGCAATATACCACATTTTTTTTCTTTGGTTTATGCACGTCCCTTTTAAAATATATATTTTAATTTAAATAAATGAAAGTTTGTGTACTTAATTATTATTAAAATCACATCAAACCAATTAAAGCACTTTATTTTTTATTTTTAATTTTATAAATTCTTGAAATAAAAAGTTATTAATAGTTTATGCGTAAGCCAAAAAGTAAGAAAGAATTTTAGTAATTTAGTTTTCAAAACACTGATTTAAGAAAGAAAACCAAAACAAGAAAAAGTATCCAAATCTTTACGAATAAATAAACAAGGTTGAGACATATAATTGCATCAACAACGAACGCGTCATATATTCTCATCTATCTACATGATTTGAATAATTTAGTCGGAAAATTTATTTTTTTTGGTTATTAGCAAAGAGGTTATTTTGGTTAATGGTTCTCTAATTGTGTGATATTTTCGAATTAAAAAACAATAGTGTTAATTACTTAATTTGTATTCTTTTTTCCCTTGAATTAGAAGTTTAGAACTCATGACCTTGAAAATTTTCTACGTTGGGTAAAAAATCTAATATTGTGTTTCTAGTTAGTAATTAAAAACATTATTTTGATTAAAATATATTTTTCGTCAAGAATATTTTCTTACGTAATTCTTTTACAAAAAGGGTTAAACTTTTGGTATTCGAAATTTTTGGAGAGATAACAACGTAAATTTACATTAGTGGATTTATTTTTTTTTATCATATAAACTATATAAAAGAAATAATATGACAAAAAATGGATATCATTTCAAGATAAAATCACTTTTGTTTTTGAAAAAAACAACTAACAAATGAACAATGATTGCAATTTTAATGGTTATAAAAAATTTGAATAAGATATCTATAAAAATGAAATTAACTAATACTTTTTAAAAAAGAATACAAATAGTGCTCCACTCCACCTAACCAAAACATATCTCTTCATTTTATTTTTAATATTATATGTATTATTTTATCTTTTATTTCTTAATTGGGTTTCTATTCTTCAAACTAAATAATATGAAGCGAAAAGAGTTTATATTCTAATGAATCAAATTCATTGGTTTTTAAAGGTGCTAGCTAAGCTACTAGAACGTTCCATATATAAAAGTAGTATTGTTCTTGATTCTTGAAGTTGAAGCCATTACTTAGACAGTTGTCTATCGAATCTACTACTACTACATGTAAATATTGACCTTTGAACAGTATGAACCAAACACAACTTACCAAATATATTTATATAAAACTTTTACCAAACCGAATGTAAAAAATAACACGAAGACCAATTTGTGTTTTGTCTGAAATCGAAGAGAAAACGCGTTCCTGATTTTTTGTTTTTGCTTTATTTCAACCTCAGTGTATCTCTGTCGTCTTCTCTTTTAACACCTTTGACTAACGTGTCAACTGCTTCATGGGCCATTTTTTTTTTATATATTTTTAAATTAAGAAAGCAAAAAAAAAAAAAAAAAGACCAGAGTGGTGAACAAACGTATATGTTCATCAACGAACGACGATATGTTGTTATTTTTTTTTGTAATATAACGTGAAAAAGAAGCAATACAAAAAACCACTCAACATAACTTACAAGTACATAAGTTTTAGAGTTTAGTTATTATTGGGTATGATTGCTAACTATGGATTTGTTCTTTTGTTTACCAATCAAACAGGAGTTTCAAAAGCTAATTTTTATTCCAATTTTTGTTTTTAATATTCAAAAGTTTCAGAGCATTTATCACTACTACAGAAACTATATTCCACATCTTATTCAAATGTTAAATAAAACGTATTCTCTTTGGCAATGGACTAGATTCTTACACAGATTTTGGTTTTAATTTCTCAGAAAAAAATTATTGGTTTTAAAACTAATTCAACCTCAATTTTTTTTCATAAACCCTATAAACAAGTTCGACCAAACGAATACAAAATTTTTATTTTTATTTTTTGAATAACTAAAAAGGTATGCGTCTAAACTCATATATCCTTTCATACCCGAAACTAAAACATATTATATAGTCTCGTCTCAAAAACTATTCGAACCGGTAATTTTTAAACTTTTGCCAAAAATCTTCTATGTCTTATTTATCTCAAAAACTATTTGAATCGTAGTGTTAAACTTTTGCCTAAAATCTTCATCAGTTGAATGATTAACTCTAAATAAAATTCTAATATTAATCAAACCATTAAATTTTATTAATCTAGACTTACTAGTATACTAGGAAGATTTTAGTTTAATATCATAAATTTAGATAAACCTTATATTCTCAAAATAATTGGTCCTTAGAGTTCAAATTTAAAAGACCTAGGTCATTAAGCCGAACACCTCTTAATTGACATCTAAACACCCCAATAATTAATCAAAATCCAAACCAAAAACGAAAATTAGACGCAACAATTTTAGTTATTATACACTTTCCCTAAGCCTTATCCCATCCCATGCATATCACTACCAACCGACACAAAGACTATCTTAAAACCATATATTATACATACAAATAATATAATCACACGAAGCCTACCCTAACCACTTTTTATTTAGTTGCACTATCAATTTTCTCAAATTACAACTTTTTTAGTATTCTTACGCGTGTGTTTTCTCTCTGTATATATATATATACAAAATCTCCCATAATCTATCTCTCTCCTCACTCACTCTCTCTCACTATGTCTCAGTCTCACGTTTCAAAACCTCTCTTCTTTACCATAACTCTCTACTACATCATCTTCTTCTTCCTCTGTAACTCAGTTTCTCTCACATGTTCTTCATCATCTCTCTCTCTTCACTTCCCTCTCACATCTCTCCATCTCTCTCCAACCACAAACTCTTCTTTCACAACATCTCTCCTCTCTCGCCGGAACCCGTCGTCGTCGTACACTTTCCGGTCAAACGTCAAGTACTCAATGGCTCTAGTCATCTCTCTCCCCATAGGAACACCATCTCAGTCTCAAGAGCTTGTTCTTGATACGGGAAGCCAACTCTCATGGATCAAGTGCCATCCCAAGAAAATCAAGAAACCAATAACGACGTCGTTTGATCCTTCTTTGTCTTCTTCCTTCTCTGACTTGCCTTGTTCTCATCCTCTTTGTAAACCACGAATTCCCGATTTTACCCTTCCCACTTCTTGCGACTCGAACCGTCTCTGTCACTATTCTTACTTCTACGCTGATGGAACCTTTGCTGAGGGTAATCTCGTCAAAGAAAAGTTTACTTTCTCTAATTCCCAAATTACCCCTCCTTTGATTCTTGGTTGTGCTAAAGAGTCTACAGACGAGAAGGGTATTTTGGGAATGAATCTTGGTCGTCTCTCTTTTATCTCGCAAGCGAAGATTTCTAAATTCTCTTACTGTATCCCAACCCGGTCGGACCAGTCCGGTTTAGCTTCAACCGGTTCGTTTTATCTCGGTGATAACCCGAATTCACGTGGTTTCAAATACGTCTCTCTTTTGACTTTTCCTCAGAGTCAACGCATGCCGAACCTAGACCCTCTGGCTTACACAGTACCTTTGCTCGGTATCAGAATCGGACAAAAGAGACTCAACATACCCGCTTCTGCTTTTAGACCCGACGCTGGCGGGTCGGGTCAAACCATGGTGGATTCGGGTTCTGAATTTACCCACTTAGTCGACGTGGCGTATGATAAAGTCAAAGAAGAGATAGTGAGGCTTGTGGGATCAAGATTAAAGAAAGGTTACGTGTACGGTTCAACGGCTGACATGTGTTTCGATGAGAACATCGGACGGTTGATAGGAGATCTTGTGTTTGAGTTTGGGAGAGGTGTCGAGATCCTCGTTGAGAGACAGAGACTTTTGGTTAACGTTGGAGGTGGAGTACACTGCGTTGGGATCGGACGGTCGAGCATGCTTGGTGCAGCTAGTAACATAATCGGGAACGTTCATCAGCAAAATCTTTGGGTTGAGTTTGATGTGACCAATAGGAGAGTTGGTTTCAGTAAAGCCGTGTGTAGCAGAATATCGCCGTGAATATTCGTCTGTGGTCGTGCGTATGGTGTGAGAATTGTACCGGATAATGATCATCGTTGGATGATGTTTGATCGTACGGTGTATATTAAATATTACATCAGTTTTGGAAAACTGGGATTTGTGGGTCTGTCTCTTTAGGAAGAAGGACATCTGTCTGAAGCAAAACTTGTCATCTTTATTTGGCTCTCATGGAACTATGTATCAATGTAATGATGTATGTATGTAACTATAATAATAATTAAAGGAGTTGATATGTGTTAATTACTACCACTTGTATATTTTTTGGTCAATATAACTTTTTTTTTGGTGAATATAACTTTATCATTACCAAAATTGTTCTCTTTTTTTTTTTGGGTTTTTAATTCAAAATTTCATTGTTTAACTATTTCTTTAAAGAAATGAAAAGAAAAATTAGTTTTTTGCCTATTAATTTATCTAAAATTATTTTATAATTTTTTAACTTATAATGATACTTTTGGAAAAATACATATTTTCATGGTTTTTACAACAATTCTCCTTGTTCAGTTTTTTTTTGGGTTTGTAATTCAAAATTTCATTGTTTAACTATTTCTTTAAAGAAATGAAAAGCAAAATTAGTTTTTTTGCCTGTTAATTTATCGAAAACTAAGTTATAAAGTTTTTACTTAATTCTAAAATCTATATTTGTTTTTTTCTTAAATAAAATAATATTATAGCATAAAATTTTCTATAGCAAAAATGATTTTGACTTTAAAAAAAAACTAGAAAAATGGAAAGAAACAAAACAGAAATATTGGAATACAAAATAAAATAAAAATAAAAATAAAATAATATGTGTCATGTGTATAATTCATTTTATAATCTCCAATCCTTTGCTCATGCTAGTATGCTTACTACCTCCGGTACTTCGGTACATAAATACAAATATGAAAGTGGAGTTCTCCGTTGTCGCCGTAGTCAAGGTGATGATAGGGGAAGATGAAATTGATGAGGAGAGTATGAAAGATAATGATGTTATGGACATTTGATTTTCATTTTAAATAATTTGATGTCATGACTAATATAAGTTGTTATTACGAATTTTTTTGTTTTTAATAAAGGGATTATCACTGTTATATGTTTTAATGTTTAAATGGAACTTATACTTTCTATCTTCTACAAATTATTTTAATATTTCCTTATATTTTTCTTATTATTTACTTATTTTTTTCGACTTATTTCTAGTTTTTGTAACTATAGTAGAAAAACATATATCACTAATATATTTGAGATTCTGAATTACAAAAATAAATAAAAGCGCAACCATATGCTGTTGGATATCTACTAACAAAATAAGATAAAGATACTACAATTAGCTGTGAAATTTTATATTTTAATACAATTAAAAATATTTAGACTTGGATAAAACTAATTACCTTGATACAACAAAAAAAATATATAAAAGAAATTTTTGTAATTATAACTCATCCTTGTAATTTTATCATTGTTTAACAACTTACATGTTTACTCCTATAATTAGAAAATGAATAACACGTAAACAGTAATTTTCGTTTTTTGGTGAATAAACAGCAATTTATTCAAGAACTATATATATATATATATATATATAAATTACAAACGTATGTCTACTAAGTACATAATAATCACTCAAATCATAGTTATTTTCTACTTTTTACTTTTCTTTTAATATGTTTGGCTCTTTCCATCATAATAAAACATACCAAGCCCAATAAATAAAACCCTTAAATTATCATTATCAAGAGGTTTTTAAACAAATTTTAAACTAAGAAAAGTTGAAAAAAGCTAAGAAAAGTTAATAAATGTCTTTTATAAGAGATATTTATTAACATTTTTTTAGTCTTTTTAGTTTTTTTTTTATCTTAAGATTTTGTTAAAAGCCTTTGATAATGATGCTCTTAATCGTTTCCATCCATCACTAAGCTATAGCAGAAGCTCTCTTTTACGACGACAAAAAAAAAATAGCTCTCTTTTACATTACTCAATCCATGCAAATGTTTATCAGAACTAGCATGCGTAAACTGTTAACATATCTACACTGATAGTACTATATTGCTTTTAGATTTTCTTACCGAAAATAAAACTTTGGGAATATAAAAACAGAAAGACACAAACAAAGAATGTGATTGCTCGAGTGTTTTCCTAATAATGTAATAAGACAAACCGAAACTGATATAAAAACAGAAAATAAAAAATAGATATCAACATAAAATGTTCATATAGAGAAAGTGGATGGTATTAAATACAAGTTATAAAGAGGAAAGATAGAAACAAGAGATGGATTTAGGGAAAGATGCAATGGCTGAGCCAACAAAAAACACATGATGCTAATGAAAGACAATGACACATGAACCATGATGATGAAATCTATCAATTACCACTGAGATACGGCAAAGTCGGCAACGTCATTTTTATGTCATTTATATAAAAATTATTTCTTTTTCTTTCTCATGAATCAACACGTTTGATAGAGATATAACATTAATTAGATAAATGTACTTTTTTTTACATTAATTCAATCCAGGTTTTGAGGCTTTTATAATCAAACTGGTAAGTGTCGAAAACATACCGATTACGGTGTGATATCGGCGGAGGATTGGGTTGTCGTTTTGCCGGAAGATTTCTATGCCAGAGACGAGGAGGATTTCGGCTTTCAATTGTCGGAAAGTTGATACCGATTTCAATTGCCATACCAATCGTCTTCGTCCGCCAGAGAGACTCGAGAGAGAGAAGAAGAGAAGAAGAGAATACGAGGAGACCCCAAAAAAATGCGACCTACACTAACCGCGAACCAATCATCGATTGCCACGTGGTCTAAAGGATGAGCATAAATCGTCCTGTTTTAAGGAACGTTCTTTCCTTTATTAACACAAAATGATTTAAATTTTAATCTTCTAATGTGTGGGACGATGCGTATATACACTGATGCACATGGTCTAAGAAACATTCATTGTAAACAAATAGTTCACAAAAGAAAATAATATGAAATTAATTAGTTGTTGCTAAATGTTTAAGATAAGCTATGTGTTAAATCAAAGATAAACTATGTGTTACAAACCTTCACATTGTTACCCAAAAAAAAAACTACAGTATGTGTTAAAAGTTAAAACTAAACTCTCAAGAACTATTTGAACAAAAAAAAAAACTCTCAAGAACTATAAATTAAAAACTGGTTTTGAATTGGTAAGTTTAACTGTTGCAATATGCAGATACAGAATGTACCGATTTTAGAACCAATAATAAAGCGGTATTAAAATCGATGTAAAATAAAGCATTTGTATTATACAAGAAAACAAGTCGCAACAGTTTTTGTAATACCCATAATGATTTTTTTTTGGTTATTGTATGAAATCTATTGGGAAATATCCTCCTATTGAAAGGATTTGTTTATTATACAGCTTTTGGTGTTAAGATATTTTTCTACTATTAATTGATTTCCAAATTTACGAGAAACATTAAATATTTGACAGAAAAATTATCGATAATTATTTGAATATTTGTTTGTACTAGTATCATTTAGAAAAGAGTAGGGCACTATTATTAATGGTCTCTTAAACATTTCTTAGTTTAAGATTTAAGCATTTTTTAGTTTAAGATTTGCTAAGAGAATATAAAAGACATTTCTTAGCAACTCTTCAGCTAAGAAATGCTTAAGAGACCACCAATAAGGACATGCACATGGGCGTACCCACAAATGTCCTACACACAAAAAAAGAAAAGAAAAAATGAAAAAAAAAACCTGAAGGACGTACGCATTTGTGCTACGGTCCCGTTTATTGTTGCCCCTTTTCGCGGACCTCACTGACACGTGCCGGCCCGCGATTGGTTATTTATTTTTTTTTAATATTTTTTTTATAATCGTAAAAGAAAAAAAAAAAAAGATTTTGGGACAAATGCTTGTCCCACCAATGTGCATGGTCTAAGGACTGTGTATTACTGTTAACACTTGTGAATTTGGTCAAAGAGGAATTATTGCAGATGTTATCGTTATTGTTAATAAATATATCTAGTAAATGCAAGGTTTCATTGTTTTTAAGAGTTTTCCTTTTTTAAAGGCATGCTAATCTTCTTTTTTTTGTCAATAACTTTCATCTAATGGACTCAAATGAGCCAACTTTCATCTAAAAGCATGCTAATCACATATTATATTTAGCTATTTCTAATAATAATTATATGTTTAGCTATTTCTTTTAGAGTGATCAAATAGTAATCTTAACTTAAATCAAAATTTAAACATACCTGAAGCCAAAATTTTGTTTGGTGGACAAAACTACAAATATGTCTACAAAGAAACATTGTAGTTTCTGTTTGAGGGTTGTCCTTTTTGGTTATATGGTCTCTTTAGCAGCGAGAGTTGTGTCATCTAAATGTCGTTAAATTTTTTGGGCTTATTTTTGTAGTGTCCATGGTTTATCTGTGGGGCTTATTGTGGGGGGGTCTTGTTTGACCTAAGTGTCTCCAACCTGTGTATAGTAACTGGCTTACTTCAAGACTGGGTTGTAGTTTCAAGTGAAAATAAAAAGAAGCATTGTAGTTTTTGATATACCCATAATAATTGTTTTTGCTATACCCATAATAATTTATTTATTTTTGGTATGAAAACCTAGTGAGAAATATCACAGAGAAAAGTAATATTTATAAAGTCTTTGGTCTTGAAAATTTCTTAGTGTTAATTGATTTTTCCATATATATATGTGGAAAACAATTTTTATTTTTTGAAAGAATTATCATTGACATTTACTCTCTCTATTTCACTTTAAGTGATGTTTTAACCGAAAAATTTTGTTTGATTTTAAGTGATATTTTCAACTTTCTTTGCAATAACTAAATGTATTTATTATTTTTAATCAATCATATTTTACATCATATTTCTGATTGGTTGGATTCATTTTAGTTAAAACTATTTTTACGGAAGATAGGTAAATTATATGTTTTCTTAATTTGTGTTTAGGCATTTTAAGCATTACTTCAAATAAATTGGAGGGAGTATTTGATTTTTTTGTCAAATTTTCATAAGAGGATTAATTGCTTTAAAAATCATTATGGTCATTCAATATATTAAGTTAAATGCAAGATTTCATTTTTGGACTTGGATAGTACTGTAGTTAACTAATTATATAATTAAGTGGTGCTATTTAATTAACATGATAATAATAATTATTATTGGCACCGTATATGATATAAAATTTTGACTTTATGTATAACACTGTAATTAATTTACTAATTAGTAACAGATTCTAACATTTGAGAGCTTATTACAGTATATATAA